GCCGGTACAGCACGTCAGCATCCACCCCTTCCAGGAGAGGGTAGCGCACCAGCCGGGCCGGCTGGAACATGTCAGCGTTGAGGATCAGGTCCCGCTCCCAGAAGGACTTCATCTTAATCCCTCGCAGGCGGACGTTGTAACCTTGGTCTACCAAGACAGGACAGCGATGCTGCATGTGTGGCTGCAGCGTCCTGGCTGGGCTGGCAGCCCCAGTCCCGCAGCACAGGCTCACCCCGGCACTCCAGGATGCGGATCTCCAGCACTGACATAGGTGTCTTCATGTCACGGAGGATGCAGACATCCTGGTAGCTGTTCCTGCACACAGCACGGAGGAAAATGGCAGAGCCAGGAGACACAGACATCAGCGAGGAGGCTGGTGAGGTGCAGGCCACTCTGGCTCCCCAGCTGCCCAGTCCCGCAGCACAGGCTCACCCCGGCACTCCAGGATGCGGATCTCCAGCACTGACATAGGTGTCTTCATGTCACGGAGGATGCAGACATCCTGGTAGCTGTTCCTGCACACAGCACGGAGGAAAATGGCAGAGCCAGGAGACACAGACATCAGCGAGGAGGCTGGTGAGGTGCAGGCCACTCTGGCTCCCCAGCTGAGGATGCACCGCTACCCATGGTGAAAGCCCCACCACCTCACCGAGACTGCAGCAGGAGGGGACCAAGTGGAGAAGAGAGGCTGTCAGAGGCACAGAGACGTCCTGAAGAAGGTGGAAGCCACATCCAGAGCCAGAAAAGAGAATAAATTCAAAGCAGAACAGAAAGGCGAGATGGCTGAGAGCACATTGCTGTTCCTGGGGGGATCCCAGCGTATCTTGCAATGGCACAACCATCCTTCAAGCTGAGCTGGTCACACAAAGGTGACGTGTTTTGAAGGAAACAGGGATTTGTGAAGATAAGCAATTTCATAAGTGATTCGCTTGTGTTTCCAAAGCCTATGGCAAGGTCCCATCAAAAAACTACAGGCATGTGGGGAAAAACCACTGCAACTGCCCAGACACAGTGAGGAGTTGGATTCTGCCACCAGGAAAAGACTTTGTCAGTCTCATGGATGCTTTTTCAAACACAAATCTCACTGCTCAGCCAAAAAAGGGCAAACAGGCAAGTTTTAGGGAAGGAGGAAGAGATCTTCGCACCCCTGTGTAAACCTCTGCCTGCCTCAAGAAGGGGGCTGCAGAGTCAGAGTGAAGAGGGAGAGGTGAAGCACCCCAGGACTTCTCAGCTACAGCACACAGAGATGCTTGGAAAGGAAACAGCAGTGGCACATGCCCCCAGAGGCGAGGAGGAAAGACCCCCCAAAGTCATCAGGCAGAAGGAAGCATGCTGCAGCCCCACTGCTGCAGCACAGATGAGGAGCAGGAGTGGAGATGAAGGTGCTTGGTGGGCACATGGAGACAGGGGACCACCACGCTTGTGGAAACAGATGTACCCTGCACCCAGGGAACCCCAACCCACAGAAAGCCACCAGCACTGCCAGGTCACTCTGGACTAATCCTAGCCCTTTCCTTAGCATCTGCTTGGCATGCAGAGACAGCTTGGGAGTTTGGCCGAAGCCTGAACCAGGTTGCTCCTCGCTCATTACTCACTCATTAATTAGGACGGTTCTCAGGTGCTGCAGCCTGTTTGGTGTCCCTCCATACACAGCTACCCGCCTGGGTATATAGGAACTGGACTGTCCATCCAACATCAGCCACAGCTTCCTGGGGATGAGAAGAGCAAAGGGGCAGTGTTGTCCTCCCCTCCCAAGCCACCTGGGCACAGAGATGCCCCTGGCAATGTGCCAGGGCTGAGGACAAGGCCGTGTCCTCCTGAGGAGCATCTGGCAGCAGCTGCTCCCCACCTCAACCCCAAGCCCCTGGCTGCAGCCCAGGGAAAACTGTTCAGGAGGAACAAGGTGCTTTTTGCCCCACCCCCTGCCCATCCCTGCCACAGCTGCAGGGACACCCCAAAGTCTCACTTGACAATGGTGCCTTTCTTCATGTTGAGCCGCACCCAGTGCTGCCCCGGGGACCCATTGCTCTCCCAGAAGGTGTATGTCTGGTTGTCAGTCAGATGGGATGCACCACAGTCCTCCTGCAAGAGTGCAGCAAGCAGAGGGAGGGAGCTGAGCACCCTTGGGCATGCTGTGGCCATGCCTGGGATGGGTGCTGTGGGGCCAGAGGAGGTCAGGACTGAGCCAGCCACTCAGTTCATTGGGCTGCAGGTGGACAGTGGCCAATGGACCCCTCACAGCACCCCAGAAACACAATGGGGTTTTGCTCCAGAAGTCCAACTCCTCACAGCTTTACTAGAGTGGCAAAATCCCATCACCAACCCCCAGAGGAGATGGCCACCGCCAGTCACTTCTCCCCACAGCTACAGCAATGCTCGTGTGTCTCACACTGATTTTAAGCCATGGAGAAGCCCTGCTACACACCGCCTGTGAGGAGACCTCGACGCTTCTGAGGTGCTCCTTGGTGCAGTCCCGGCGCTGCAGCTCCCTCTCGCTGTGATCGTAGAGGAAGCGCCCCAGCTCCATGTCATGCTCGTAGCTCCAGCCTGGGGGCACGGACCTGCAAGGGGGGCCCCGTGTTAATGAGATGGGGAGACCAGGCTGCACCCCAAACCTGCCCACAAGCACTCTGCAGGTCCCCCAGTTCAGATGGCTGCAGCATCTCATGGTCACCACATCAGGATGGTGCCAGGCAGCTGGCCCACTGCAAGCAGATGGCACAGCTGTATCTCACCATCACCATGATGGGTGTTTATGGCCACCCCAGCCCAGTGGGAATAGCACCATGTAGTCACTCTGATGCTCCACAGAGCAAAGGCCATCTTTGCCTGAGCAGCATTGAATGGTATCAATGTAAAAGGCACCTCATGGTACCTGTCCTCCCCACTCCCAACCCTGAAGCCAGTCCTGGCCAGCCGCCCCTTGGGGTGCTGCAGTACTGCTCTAGGAGATGGGGTCATACCGAAACTTCTGCACTGCGTCCTCATC